ACAAGTCCGTACCCGATTTTTCTGCCGTGTAAACGGCCTTTCTGAATCTATATATTAGCAATTGCATAAAAGTACCCTTACTTAGATTATTAGGTAAATAATGAATAAATGTTATCAACGACACTAGATGGTGTTTTTTTTTTTACGCTTCCAATATCGTAAGGGAGATTGTACCTCATAACTGCTCCCTTGTGCATAAACAGAGTTTCCCTATTTACATCGAATAATCACGACCAACAATTGTGTTTGTAGATTTCAAGGTTTCATGTAAGTAGACCTCCGAAGAGCGCCTCAGTTATCTGAACCTAACTGTGTTGCTTATTGTTGCTTGCACAGTCGAAGATTACTTGCGTTAGTGAACAATCCAAGCTTCATCAATGGTCATGCCTCAGAAACGTAGGCTTAATAAAGTAAGCAGGCGCTCCTCGATCACCCCTTCAGTCTACATTCAAGATAAAACAAATGTTGAAATTTTCCTCTGAAACGGGAAGTTTTTTCCTCGGCGTAGTCACTGAAGAGCTACAACATCTGTGTGAGATGAAACGGAAATTGATTGACTGTTTCATTTTCAGCGACTGATAATCAATTTCTTTCACCTCTAAAGGGTTAACTTCACTGACATTACAGATTGTTTCCAGAATTATTTTTGACGAGTTCGCACGTAGTTAACCACTACTGCAGTAGCCGAGTCTAAATTTTGGGCCGTCATGTTTGCCAGCCTGAGCAACCCCAAACATGCATTTTTGTTAACGACGCCTAAGAAAATAATGACCCCTAGCTTTCAATCTCTGACTAAAGGCTAACACTCCAAACACAACTTGCCAACACCATGGCAGTTTGTCTTCTATTAAAAACATCTAATTAAGTGATGATCAGCTTAAAGTGCAGGCGAAGCATAACAATGACTTTCTTCAGAAAATTATAACTTTATCCAAATCTCAAGGCTATTTTATTTATCCATTAAGTTATCTATTTAGTTTTCTATTTGCTTAGTTGATATTTTTATCCTTCTATTGCAGTCTTTACTACATGTAATCCTATTCCTAGAAAGTGAGGAAGTCAAACTAGTTTGACGTCAATTACCAATTCAGGAATTTATGGTATTGTGCTGCATAACTTAGAGACGATATGTTTCTGTGCCAGCGTAGATAAAAAAGTCTCTAATCTGCATTCACATCGACTTAAACAGGGGAAATTCAGCTGCAAAACCAGAATTTTCATTGGTCAGTTTCTGGTTGTACTCTGAATCATCTCAACGAAAAAGTCGAAAATGAAACAACAACATGTTGATATTGATCTGTCGACTGATATCTTTAGATTCCTTGAAATAAATTTAAGCAGATTACTTCCACGAAGCTGTTAGCTGTTGTGTCACACAAGGCGAGCATAAGGTTTATGAAAGGTCGTTGTGTTCCGGACAGACCTTCATTCGTTAAACTTCGCTCATGTCAATATGGATTTGGACCTTGGAAACAGAAACCCAGCGTCTGGCGAATGGAATGTCGAATTTCCCTTTATCAACATTACCCCAAGTGATGTAAACAAAACAGAAACTGCGTCTCAGTTCATCGCTGGGTTTTATGCATTGCTCTTCTACCTCGTCCTTCTTACCTTGAGCACACTTGGCGTTTGTTTCAGAGCTTGTGCCCAGATGCTTTCATCCCGTGCTACCTCTGCCCTCTTTTTAATAGGGACATTGTTAGCCTGTGTAAATGTGTTCTGCAATTCGGGCAACTTAGAAGTTAGAGTATACTTCCGCCTGCCCACGGCTTTTCTTGTTGGAATCGTCTTTGTTTTGGCTGGGGCGGTATTTTTCTTCTCGAAACCTGAAAACGTGGCCCATCAAACTACCTTAGCAAGACAGCAACCCTCAATGGGACTTGTTGTTGGAGTAATATCCCTCCCTTTGATCATCATCGAGATATTTCTCCTTGCTGCAGCTGGTGCTTCAAAGAACGAAGGCGATCAAAAGTCTTGGGCTCTTGTTCTCGCAGACAAGACAACGTTTCTCGTCCAGAAGGTTATCCAAGCA